AGTTTGATGTGTTATCTATCCAGGCCATTTCCGAATTTATTTTACATTTCCATATAGTTGAATTCACTAGTCCTGTGATCATCATCACAGTCAAAATACAGAATATTCTATCACCCCCAAAAATCTCTTTGTGGTCACTCTACCCCCAGGCTTATGCCTTGTCGACCATGGAGCTCTCTGTCCTTTGTCCCTATAGTTTTGCCTTTTCCAGAATGTCATATAATGGAATCATATAGTATGTAACATTTTGGGTCTGGTTTTTCACTTAGCATAATGAATTCAAAATTCATCTGTGTTGCAGTATGTATCAACAGTTTATTCCTTTTCCTTGCTGAGTGGTATCCCATTATCAAGTGACCAACTGAAGGACACTGAATTTTTTCCAGATTTTAACAATTATAAATAAAGCTGCTTTAAGCATTGCCAGTTTTTTTTGTAAATATATTTTCATTTCTCTTGGGTGAAAATCATTGAAGAGTGAGATCGCTGGGTAACATGTTTAAGTATACATAACTTCACAAGAAACTGCTAAACTGTAGTGGCTGTAGTGTGTTGCATTCCCACCAGTAATGTATGAGTGGTCCAGCTAGTCCACATTCTTGCTTGTCCTTAGTAATATCAGATTCTTTTGTTCTTCAAAAAAAAAGTATCCATTCTAATAGATCGTATAGTAGTATCTCGTTTTAATTTGTATTTCTCAGTGACCAATAATGTGGAACATCTTTTTATTTTCTATTTGCCATTCTTCTGTCTTCTTAAAGTGTCAGTTCAGATATTAGGTTGTTTACTTATTGCTGAATTTTTATAGTTCTTTATATATTATCCAGACCATTTTTTAATGCTTTTCCAACACTGGGCATATATGTAGTGATGTATTTCACAATGATAAAATAAAAATAACCATACACCAAAATAAAAAACTTGTTATCCACATACAATTTTGGCCTGTATCTTTCCTATTTAATAAAGTTGATACTGTATTGGTCCTGTATGTTCTCTTTAGATTTTCTGCAAATGTCATTTTGGTGTCCTTTGGACTGCTTGTGAAAATACATTAAATAATGACTAAATAAGCTACAAGAGTAGAAGCTATGTGTCTGTTTCTCAGCATTTTATCTAAGGGCCTCACACATAGTAAACATACAATGTATTTAATGCTAATGAACAACTTCCTGGACAAAAGGTTTGTCAAAGTCAAACTGAATTACTTTTCATTAAATTGGAACATTTTACTCTTAAAAAATTATATTAATAAAATTTGTTTCACCTTATAATGCACTTGTTTTCCATGTTCACTCTTAAAGTTGCACCAGGATTATCACATTGAATGAGTTCTAATTGAGGATAAAACTCAATTCAAAAATGTATTATGATGAACATACAGAAATTCTTTGTACTATTCTTGCAACTTTTCTACAAGTCTAAAATCCATTTTACAAAAAAAATATATATATTAAAAAAAATGTTATAGTTAGGGAATACAGATCCCTTATACCAAAAGAATGCAGATTAAGGCACAATACCAACCTCACACTTGGTAGTCTCAACAAGCCAAAAGGTGCCAAAAGAAACCCTACACTTGATTTTTTCAAATCCAATTGTTGATGTCAATGGACAGAACTTAGCTCAGAGTAACAGACAATTGCCCTTTTGCTTTCTCAAGTTGTCAATGAGATCCAGGGAGGGGCTAATAAAGGACCAGCATGGCATAGAAAACAGAAACTGATTTGGGAGACCCTGAATGGCTCTGGCTCTGCCCCAGGAATAAGGAGACCTAGATTTTAGTGTTGGCTTTGCCACCAGGTAACCGAATGGGCATGTCACATAACCCTTCTGGGCTTGTTTCATTTTTCAAAGGCAGGAGTGGACTATATTCTCTCTAAAAATTCTATCTCACCTTAAAGTTCTGTGAGTTTTAGTTCCAACTACTCCTAACCTTTGGACAACTTAGTGTACAGGCTTGCTTTTCTTCAGAATATAAACCTGAGAGCCCTAACCTAACCTGATTTTCTTATTATACAACCTGACAGCCACACAGTCTTCAGAAATCATATGTACTTTTGTAGTTACTAATGGCACCAACTGTCTGCAAACTGCAGGAGTTAAGTTCCCTAACTCACATTCTCCAGAGGTAAGTGGCAGCAAACTTTTTACACTCAACAATATGAAACTCAGTACAAAGGCTCTAGGAAGGAGCCTAGAAAACGAGTAGGCTTTCTATCCACTTAGTGTGGCCTATAGTAACGGTTATGTTTACGAACATAGGTTTAGCTTCATGAAATAAAGGTGGAAAGCTGAAAGTACTGAGTGACTTTGAACTTGTAAGTGAACTAAGTGTATCTTAAACAAGAGCAAGATGACAGAACTCGGTATATCTTTAATGTCAAAGTAAATTAGTTCCTTTTATTTTTTCCTGCTTCTGAAATCCAGTTCAAGCTGTTATTAATGAGATGGAAAACTGCTTTATTATCAAGAGATTTGCAATCTATTTATCTATTTATGCCTAATACCTCGCTGGTTCAAACCCTTCTTTAGTTTTCCAATAAATTTGTGAATTAAACCAAATTATAGGGTAGAAAACAATTCTAAGTGTAATGGAATAAAGAGGATCCCTTGAAGGCACTTATGGATAGCAGAGAGATTTTTCATTATTTCATTTTCCACACATTAGAAAATAGGAAAGTCCTTCATAATTATTCTTCAGAAATCATTAAGATTTCATGAGGAAAGAAAGAGAAGCATAATATAGATAATTTCCCTAAAATGTCTAACATGGAAAGAAAAAGCATTCAGTCTAATTTTTCATTATGCTGAGGCAACTGAAAACAATTTAGATTCAGAAAATCTGGTATATTTAACCTCTCTGAAACCCAGTCTCCTTACAGTTAAAATCAAAACAACTATCCAAAATCTTAGTTTTATTATGATAAAACATTGTTAAAAAAGTGAAAACACAATAATTTAGTAAACATAGGTTAAAATGTAAAATATAACTATCATCCTCAGTGAGATGAAACGTTAATACAGGCATACCTCCAGACCATCACAATGAAGTAAGTATCACAATAAAGCAGGTTGTAATCTTTTTGCTGGAGGGTCTGGCCTTCAATTTGTAAAAAATGCCATCTGTGATGCACAACAAAACGAGGTATACCTGTAATCACAATTCTAACTGTGTAAATTGAACAAGTGACACATTGAGAACAAAATAAATGGTGATTTAGCATAATACTATTTATGGACTGCAATAACCTGTGAGCAAAGATTTGTATGACCTGAGAGTAAAATCCGTTTCTGGAGCCTGACCAAATAAGGTCTTTCAGAAGCGGGATATAGAAGTACATCTAACCCAGAGGTAACTACAGGAAGTGCTGGAGTTAATTAAACTTCTTAGGCAAGACACCCAGAAAATACAACATACTAGTAATAAACCTTCGGAGAAAGGAAGCTAGAAGAAGTGAAACTAGATGATATAGACATCGATGCAGCATTTGCCAGACAATAAGGAAAACTCATGAAAGTTTCTTTACAAAAGGAGGGATGGTGGGTAGGGCATTTAAGACTAACATAGATGTATGGTAGCTTTAAAAATATCTAACGTGAGTATAATAAAACAGCACTGGACTAGGTATGAGAAAAGTTTTAGAACTGGTTATATGACATTCAGAAGTAGAATGGTTAGAGCAGTCTGAATCAGGTAGATATAGATTCAAATCCCAGCACCTTCACTTATATCATCTGACTTTGGACAAGTTTCAGCCTCTCAACTTACTCTAAATCTATTATATGGAAATAAGAATGCCTACTTCTTAGGGCTTGAGGATTAATTGAAATAAAGTACATTAAGTACTTAGCACACCTAACACAATAAATTAGACAATACTAGCTATATATCCTTGAGCAAGCCAAGGCCTCATTTTATAAAGGGGTGATAACACAGGAAAGCACTCTGACACCTTAAAGTGCCAGGTAAGATGGAGAATGAGTTCACTTTTCTCCTGTATCAAATGTTACTAGTTGCTCTCTTTACAATCATCAACTTTAGAAATTACTTTGATATTAACAGATTAATATCTACGGGACCATTAAAAATTTATCAAGCATTTTCACATATAATTTCATTGAAGGAAGGGCTTTTCCTGATTATATAGATTACTATCACTTTTGCCCCTATTACTATCTTATGTTACAGTGCTTGCAGAGTAGGAACTCAGTATTTGCAGAGCACCAAATAACCTAAAATTTGAACTTCAGAAATACTTCATCCTGGATAGGGGAGATATTATAATGAACTCAAATGACTCTTAATAAACATTCTACAATGAGCTCAATAAAGTTCAAAAAACAGCACTTACCAAAGTAAAGAATGCCAGTTTTGTCTCCATTGTAAAATCCCATTTTTTAAGTGATGGTACTATTTTAAATGGCTTCGAAAGGTCTATGCAGAGGTTCTCAAAGTGTAAAGCAGCTTGAGCTTTATAAGTTAGTTCAATTGGTATTTACTGACCACCTGCCTTCTGCAAGGCGCCCAGCTGCACAAGAAAAGGCACTCATACATATTGTAGGATGCAGACACTAAACTGGAGAACAACTCATAAACCCAGAAGTGAAGTGTAATGTTAGCATGGTAAGATGGGAGGGACTAAGAAAAGGGAAAGGGCAGTACTGGTTGAAAAAGTAAAGTCCAGTAGAACTTTCTGGAGGTTTGGCTTGAGCTACACTTTGGCAAATACAATTTGAATAGAATAGGGGAAAGTTAGTATGTACAGAATACAGTGATTTCTGTGTGTCTGTATAGGCCTTTAGAAGTAGGTTGGCACAAGTTTATAGCAAGCTTTGTATGCTAGAATGAAGAGCTTTAGACTATTCCGTTCAAACCATTTGCTTTACAAAAGTACTAGACATTTAGCTTGTACCTTATAAGACATGGATATAAAACTCTGGACTGCGGTTAAACTGTGAATGCTGGTATTTCAATAGACTGTAAGCATCACACCTGATTCAATGCTGTATCTTTTACTGAAGCACAATGTACCTACATAGTAAACACTTGGTAAATGTCTGCTGAATGACCAAATGACTTCTAGAATGAATTAGTCAGCTCAAAGTCCAAATATGGGGGCTCCAGCTGGAAACCCACCTAGGCTTTGATCAAACAGCTACACCTGAAAGTTTTATGTTAAGATAACAATCCTACACATCAGATTTCTGTAGAATAGGTGAGCCCCAGCTCTAGCTCCTCTCCCCAGCACAATCACAGCAGTCAGATAAAGTCGAGGAGTTTATTAAGGAAATATGACAGGCAAAGACACCTCAAGTGACAGAAAAAAAAATTCTGAAAATGTCCCTTCAAGCCAAGTGGGGGCCTGGTCTTGACCTCCCCAAAAGAACAATAAACTGGTGAGTCAGCAACATTCTCTGGCAGCCATCTTGCCAGGGCATGAGTGTCTCAGCCAGGACTGTCTCCTACCCCCAACAAAGGTGGAAAGGAGACAAAGACTGTTCACAGAATGAATGCAGAGGCAATGAGAGCTGTAAGGAAAGTCTAAGAGAGAAAGAGAGGGTCGGGGAGGACCTTTACAAAGAGTCCCAGGCTTCTGGTTCTGAGTGCCTCAAATACATTGACAAGTAGTTCTACAAAATGTTACTGAAAAGGTGAAATGCCTAATGATTTCAAAATTTCCCCTGGACTTTTCCCCACATGCCACATCACACTGCCAGATGTACATGGCAGAGCCCAAAGGCCACATTTTTGAAGAAAGAAAAACAAGAATAAGCCACACTGCTCTTTAAAGAAAGAAGGAGCTGAAGGCTGCTGGGGCCTTTCCCACGTATGCCTCTGTAAAGCAACTTCCAGCAGCAGCCTGGCACAGTTCTAGGTGAGGGTTTCACCCTTTGTCACCTGTTGAAGAAAAATTGACAATTAGATAAATTTGAAAGGATTAGAGAGTCTAAAAAAATGTTATTCTAGATCTTAGGTAGTAGGGAGTGGTAGAAAAGACAGCTTTGAAGTCTCAGACACCTGGTTCAAATCCAGGAAAGGTATTAAACTTCCCTAAGCCTGCTTCCAGGTTTCTTTTAGCAATAAGTGGAAATGTGCATTCTCTCTTGCTCAGCCACTGCTTAGCCTCATGAGGAAGCATCTTGTCCACTATACTCACCCGTGCTTCAATGTACTCTATTCTCCGTTCAAGGGCTGTCAATTTCTCATTTAGTGTTGCGAGTCTTGAACGACAAGACATATCTGGTAAAAGGAGACTGATGTTCAGGATTAATGCCATTCCGGAAACACACACACACACACACACACATGCACCCAGAGCTAAAGAAGAATAATGATGTATCATGCCAAGGACAAACAGAAGTGAGTAGGCAAAGCAGGGGAGTGAAGAGGACAAGGTGAGAAGTATCTTAGGAGCATAGCTGCTTAGAATAGATCTATTGAACTTCTTACCAAATGTGGTAGGCAGAGAATAGCAGCCCCCAAAGATGTCCACATCCTAATCCTTGGAACCTGGGAATATGTATCTTACATGACAAAAGGGACTTTGTAGATGTGATTAAGTTTAAGAACCTTAAGATCCTGGATTATCTAGATGGGCCCAACCTAATCAAAAGTTCATAAATGTAGATGAGAAAGGAAGAGGAAAGGTAGGAATGGAGATCTGAAGTGTGAGAGGGACTCAACTTGCCACTGTTGGCTTTGAAGATGGAGGAAGAGGGCCATAAGCCAAAGGATGCAAGTGACCTTTAGAAGCTGGGAACAGCTCTCAGCCAATAGCCTACAAGGAAACAGGGATCCTAGTCCTTCAGCTGTAAGAAACTGAAGTCTGTGAACAACCCAATGAGCAAGAAACAGATCCTCCCCAAGAGCCTCTAGAAAGGAAGGCACCCTGCTGACATCTTGAGTTCAGCCCAGTGAATTAGTGGTGGACTTCTGATCTATACAATAGAAAATTATGGGGTTTAAGCCACTACATTTGTTGTAATTTGTTATGGCAGCAACAGAAAACTAATATATCAGAGCTGTAGAGATGCCCATTTGCTAATAACCAAACTCAAGAGTTTCAAGACAGGGAAATGAAAAAAGGAAGAAAATAATCTCAATAGGGAGGAAAAGTAGAGGCCAAAAGAAAGCAGCAGAGACCATGGGGAAGCAGGGAGGTGTCAGTGTTTCTGAGCTCATAGAAGCCACATCACTACTGTTAGTCTAGGAGGGCATTTAATGTTTCATCAATACCTGCACAGGCCTTTCAGAACGAGAAAACTTGAACATCAAATACCTTGTAGAGCCTATATTCCATCTACAAAATTCATTTTCTTATTCTGTTTTTTCCCATCTTTTGCCACCTCCCTCAAAATGAAACCTAGATTTCCCTAAAATGCCTTTCACTCTGCAAACTTCTTTAACAGAAACCACTTGACTATTCTTTCTCCAACTATTAATATACACGAGAAAATGGTTTCTAGGCATGCTTATTTCCTACCACTTCTTCCAACACTGTTGTTCAGTCATCTCTCAATAATCTTCACATTTCAAGTTTAAAATATCCACTCTCTAAGACACCATCCTCCTCAATGATTTAACACTTAGCTCACAATCTTCTTTTTCATCTCTTCCCTGGCTGTTATGCAAAAGTGCTTCAACACCCACTTTGAGACAAATCTTCCTATACCTTGATCTTGCCTCAATTTTCATCATATCCAAATCTTACTCATCTTGCTTGTTTAAACATTCTCCTTCAAGGTTCAGTTCAAATTGGACCTCTGAGAGGTCTTTGCCAGATAGATACAATTCTCCCTCTGCTGTATTTACCTAAACATTTATGATTTACTTTCTAATTTGTAAATTACTTATGTACTTAGTCTTGGGTTATCATTTCTCTCTTTGGATAAAGAAGAGATTTAACAAACAAGAGTGTTCACCACTATTACTTAGAAATGCTTTGATAAAGTATTGCATATCTTTGAGAGACTATTAAAACAGCTACTAAAAATCAGAAGTTTGAGTATTAATGACATGAAAAAATGTTCATGGGACAAAATTCAATTATATTTATGTATCGTAATTTATAATTTATTTATCTATGTCTGTTTCCCTAGTAGAATGAGTTAATCCAAGGTAGATACTGCCTCTTATTAATCTTTATAACCTTAGCATCTTGCCTTGGCACATAGGTGTTTATTGAAAACCTGATGGATTCTGGTATATTAGTGGAACAAAAGATTGACTCTAGTGTGACTCCACTAATTTTACAAGTGGAGAAACGTAAGTTTAGATAAGTTGAGGGCCCATCATGGGTCACTGATGGAACAAAATAGTAGCAGAGTCGAGTTCAAAGCCCAGTTCTGTCATTACCCAGTATGATACTTCTTCCCATCACACTGTCTCACTAAACACTGCTACCATGGACCATCCTTCTGAGCTTCTGGGGCTGTAACTTATTCCCCACATCTCTTAAAATTTGCTTACAGCTCTACTCTTCCACTTTCTAGTCCATTTTTTTTGTTTGTTTCCATATTAGATCCTTTCCCACTCATCTATTTTCACTGCTACTCTTCAGTATTCTTTTTTAAAATAGCTTTATGGATATATAATTATATACCATCAAGTTCACCTGCTTGAAATATATAATTCAATGGTTTACAGAATATTTAGAGCTGTGCAGCCATCACCATAATCTAATTTTAGAACATTTTCATAATCCCTAAAAGAAACCTCTCTACCAATTGGTAACCATTCCCCATTCTGCCTCCTCTCAGCTCCTGGCAACCACTAATCTTTCTGTCTCTATGGATTTGCCTATTCTGGACACTCTTCGTTCTTCTTTTTAATTATTTTTTTAATCTACTAGTACTGCTTCTTCTAATTCCGAGGTCTATCTTGAGTAGAAGTACCTTAGTACTCTCATTTTCCTGGATACACTGCTAAGACTGTCCAACAGGACCAAATCTCTTTCAGTCAGGTTTTTAGAAGCTCAAAGGCACATCATGTATGCTATTCAGTAGCAGCATGAATGTTATCACTGACAACCTGTCATTTCCCATAAAAAGCCAAAATTATCCAGAAGGGCGGGGTGCTAAGAGGGACTCCTTTCTGGATGGCTGTCCTGTTCTGGCTCTGTCAATCTGGTAATTAATCAGAATCTAAAAACATGATGCTATTGGCCTACATGGATAAAGCACTGTTGAGAAATATGAAATGTTGAACATCAGACACTTTGGTTATAATGGTTCAAACATAACACTGGGAAAACATTCAGCAGGGGAAAAATCTAAAACCAAAGTGCATTTACGTGTACATTATTACCAGACTTTAACTGAAAATGCCAGTTGTTCTCATCAGGGTGCTTGATAGTGTGTACAGTAGTAGTCCCCCCCTTATCAGGAGGGGATGAGTCCCAAGACCCACCTCCCCATGAATGCCTGAAACCACAGATAGTACCAAACTTTATATATACTATGTTTTTCCCTATACATATATACCTATGGTAAAGTTGAATTTATAAATTAGGCATGGTAAGAGATTAACAATAATAAAATAATTATAATACACTGTAATGAAAGGTATGTGAATGTGGTCTCTCTCAAAATATACTGTACTATACTCACCCTTCTTGTGATAATGTGAGATGATAAAACACCTTTGTGATGAGATGAAGTGAGGTGAATGATACAGGCACTGTGATGTAGCATTAGGCTACTAGTGACCTTCTGACAATATGTTACAAGTACTTTACGGCTTCTCTTTGGCATATTGGAATTGCCGGCATCACTACTCTTGTGCTTTGGGGCGATTATAAAGTAAAATGAGGATTATTTGAACACAAGCACTGCGATATTACAGCAGTGGATCTGGTTACTAAGTGACTAACAGCATGTATTTTATATAGTGTGGATATGCTGGAAAAGGAATGATTCATGTTCTGGGTGAGATGGAGCAGGACAGCAAGAGATTTCATCACACTGCTCAGAACGACACACAATTTAAAACTTATAAACTGTTTATTTCTAGAATATTCCATTTAATATTTTCAAACCACAGTTGACCACAAGTAACTGAAACTGTGGAAAGCAAACTAACAGACAAGGAGGGACAACTGTATACATTATCACTGCTGACAAATGCCAGTTACCGAACATCCTTCTCTGAACTCTTAACTGCATATAGTCTTAGCCTACAAAAATCAAAACTATCTTTCTCTTGAATTGTTTTTGCAGGAAAGTCTTATTTCTCCAACAAAATTCTAAATGTCTTAGGAGTGGCTACTATGTCCATTTATTCTTATTTATTTCTTTCTCACAGCATCTGATACACAGCTGGGTCACAACAGGCATTCTGTATTTGTTGGCTAAGTATAAAAACTGAGATTTAAAAATCGTCACATTCTCTATTTTTCATTATACTTCTCTGCACATATTAGCTTTAGGATCAGAAAAATGGTATAAAAATAAAAAAGCTATCATATGTGACAATCTTTTTAATAACTTCATCAATACTATTCTGTACTACTCAAAGTACAGAACAGGCCTAATATTAGGATGTTATCACTGCATTATGATCTGTGGGTCTTCAGGCTCAGGTGGTCTTCCAATGTTTGAAGAGAAAACCACAAAGAGATCATAACTCTACTCGCACCAGCTGGAATCAAAGAGAAAAGCTGGTCAGAAAGTCGTTAGATATCTTGGAAAAACAGTTCCCTCTCCAAAGCATATGGCCTACACAGAGTCTCTGGGGTCAGGGTAAGGATTCTAGCATAACTGGCATTTTCAGAGAGCTCCAGATGCCTTCTCAAAGTAAACTCCCATTAATTTAGTGTTCAGAAATTAAGATATTACATTACCAAATCCAAATTTAGGGGGCTGAGATACTAGATTACTTTTAATAATGAAAAACAGCCCCAGTTTGACTTGTTATTTTAGATACTTTATTGATTGAACTGACAATCTTAATACTTTGCTTGGCTATTCTGTGTGTACATATCAGATATTAACTTCTACCAGGTAAATTCTATTAATTCTGCTTTTTCAAGTTAAAACTCTCCACATCAGTCATTTTTTTCCAACAATTTTCCACTGCCTCTCCAGACTAAGCCAAAACTGTGATCCTGTTATCATTGCATCCTTCCCCTAGTGTGCTGTATTTTGGTTCTTCTTATATAGCCCTTCCTCTGAGGGAATGTTACGAGTAAAGAATGTTGTAAGGAATCTCCAATAATAGTTCACCTTGCCAAGAAAGTGGGAGAAACCAATTATGAGAACTAACTGACAGAGTTTGCATAGAACTTTTTTTAAAAAGCCTCTGAGGAAATCCAGACTATCTGAGTAGCAGGGTGAATAGGTCAGTATTTCTCACATGTTTTCAGTTCATTAAAATCAATTAATCTAGCCTCTTTGATCCTCAGTCTACTGTCTCCAAACCCGCTTATCTTTTTCACTAACCCATGATCCTTCACTCACAGTCCTCAAAAAATTTCACGATACTTGAGATCTGAGTTCTTGATACCTTTTCTACTACAACCGCTATAGCAAGTTATGTGTGTGAATGTTTTATTGACATATATATTTATACTGTTCTCTTCTCTCAATACTACCCCCATCTCTATTCTCTGATGAGTAAAGAAATCCACCATACCAAGACACATCAAGATTATAGTCCTATACACCTTGTATGTAAGTATATTAATACAAAAACAATGTTTTGCTTTGTTCTGAAGTTATTTTGTCTTCAAGACAGAAATTCTTTGAGTGCAGGAAATGGTTCTTACTGTGTCCCCCACAGTGCCTGAGAGAATTGTGCACTGAGATCTAGTTTCTCTTACTGATGCTTTCTGACAGAATTCATGTCCCATCTTTAGAACTCATCAGTTCTCCAGTTAGAAAATAATACATTTAAAAATCTTTTTTACACATCATTTCCCCTAATCGTAATTGCTTAATGTTGCTGAATTAGTGGAACAGTGGCACACGAGTTGAAAAAAGATCACTAGATGTTATCCCTACACCTTGTGATTACATAAGAAAGTCTACCCAGTGCTCAGTTCTTCTAAAGAAACACTTGGAGAACATGAGGTGGGAGCCTCTGTTACAGGCTTGCTGTTGAGAAGGATATGGGGAACAATGTAGAAAGAATTTAAGACTGTCATGAGTAGGCCATGCCTACGAAAGATTTTGGTAGAAGCAGACAGAACACCTACGGTCTGATGGATACCAACAATACTGAGATTTCCATGGCCTTACACGATCTGGAACTTACCTCTGACCTCATCGCCTACGACTCTCATCATAGCAAAACGGAAGACAGGAAGGGATGAATAAGAAAAGTGGTGAAGTGGGGACTAAAAAGCATGGCGTTATTGGGTTTCGACTCAATTCTGAAGGAGATAGGGCCCAGTCAAGAGTCTTTAAACAGGACAGCAACACCGCCCTGTTTAAAGATGCGTTCTGGAAGGCGCACTCTGAGTGCAAAGCAGGAAAACTGGAAGGGAAGCTGAGCACAAAGGAAGCAAGAACATCGAAGAGATGAAAAACGACAGAGGGTGGATGGAGCTGCCTGACGTGTCTGGAAAAAGGACTTGTTAAGGGATCCGGGGTGATGGCAATGAGGCCGAAAAGCTCAGCCTGGAGCAGGATAACCTTACAAGGACTACCCAGGGGAGCCTGAGGGTCAAGGAGGGAGGAGGAAGTGGGGCCTGAAAAGGAAACGAAAAGCAGCAGGAGCCGAGGGCTCCCAGAGAGAGCCCCTTCGAAGTCTCTCAGAGCCCCCGCCAAGCTGCCTCAAAATCCTCCCTCCATCCCGCCTCCCCCTGCTCGCCCTCTGACCGAACGAGTTGAGAAAGTCCGCAATCTTCTTGATGCTACTGGTGATGACCTCAATGTATTCCCGGTTCGCCCAGTCCTGGTGAATCTCCCGCTGTACCGGGTCCTCTTGCCCAGCCATGGCTGCCGCCTAAGGAAAAGCGACTGCGCAGGCGCCCCGACCCTCCAGGCCGCCCGTGCGCCTGCGCCGCCAGGTCACGCCCATCCCTTGGCACCCACGAATCGACGGGCATAGTGTTGCGCCTGCGCGACGTGTCAAGCCCTCTCCTGAGTTTTCACTCTGCTCCCACGCCGCTGAAAGTTTCCTCAGCTCCGGCGGAGAGGATGGAGTGCGCAAGCGCCAAGAGCCCGAACCATCACAAACCGGGTCACTGGCAGTTAGGGTCGTTAGGGGACGCTTGGAGCCTCGTCACCCCTTCTCTTAGCTGCGCCAAACATAAGTTGCTGTCTGTGTCAGCAATAAGTTGGGCATAACCGATTAAACCATATTAAATACTAGTCATTTAAAAAATGTCTTTCAACAACACAGCGTGATGTTCCACCTTGCATTTACCAAATGAACAAAATGTTATTTTTTGAACACTAATGCCCAGTGCTGGAGGAAATTAATAGGCTCATAAATAGCTGGTCACACTGTAAACTGGCACAAACCCTTCAGAAAGAAATTTGTAAATTCATAGCAAGAGCTGTAAAAATTTTCTAACTTTTTGACCTGACCATTAAGAAAATAATTGAAAAAGAGAAGAAAAAAAAAACACTAAGCACTAAGGTGCTCTTTTTTAGCATTATCTATTAAAAAAACAAAGACAACTAAATCTCCACAGTTGGAGAATGGGTAAACAGTGGTACAGGCACTTACTGGCAATGGAATGCAGTCATTTAATTATAAAGACTATGGCAACATAACGCACATAATAAATTGAAGGGAAAAACAAAATAGAAATTTTTATTCAATTACAATTATGCAAAAACTATGACAGCTTAAGGACAAGAAGGATATACCAAAAATGTTCACATATAGTTTTTAAGGTAGTGGAATTACAGACAATTTTATTTTGTTTAAGGGAATACTTACAATCTGACTTGGGCAAGTAAATTAAAAAACAGTCATTATTTCTAGCAGTAGCTGAGGAAAAACCATTACTAACAATCCTTTACTCAGATTTTACAAGCTATAAAACTGCTTTTAGACCTATTACCTCAGAGGACTTTCACAAACACTGTGGGGAGAAGTCAAGAATTTTACCGATGAAAAAACTGAAGTTCAAGGTCACACGGCCAATTAAGTGGTGAACCCTCACCAGCTGATTCCAGACACCAGATACCTGAAAACAGTTTAAAGTCTATCTAAGCTCTCCAATGTATTTATATAAATGGTTTCTAAAATAATTAATATAGACCCTAAATATAGAATTCCAGACATCCAGAAGACTTCTCTCTTCCATTAAGACCCTGCTTCTCAAGTGAAGTCTTCACTGTTGAAGTCAGCATTTTGCGTGCATGTCACAGAGAAGTCAGATCTGCAGGGCATCTGTTTTAAATCACAAAATCTACCAAAGAGGAGACACTTCACTCCTTGAACATTGGTTTCTGCATGAGTAATACAGGAATTACATCATGGATGGGTTAGGATCGTTGGGAGAATTATGTAAGAAAGGATAAATAAAACACTAAGCAATGCCTGACTCTTCACAAAGCATGCACCCATGATCAGTTTACATTTCTTTTTATGCAGAAAGCAGAAAATTAAATACACGTATCGGTTAGAAAGTCAAGGGAAGACGTGTCTTTTTTCCGCTCGATAGGTGTGCATTTATAAATTCTATCTTCTTGCCTGAGATCATTCCAATGCAGCAACAAAAGCCTTCAGAACTCTGGGTTACTCAGCCCGAATGTCCACTGAGCAGGGTTTAATAAGGACTTTTAACACTAACTATAGGTCCCGGAACTTTTATGCAGGTTCCTGACCACACTGTGCGAGTTCTCTGGTACACAGACGTGGCAAGGTGGGTAGGAGGCAGAGAGGAAGGGAGAGGACGGATTTGAACCCGCACTCCTGAACACTGAGTTCTGGACCTGGTGTTCGGGGTGGGAGGGGGAAGGGGGCTGGAGGGGGTGGTGGTGGTTGGGGTGTGCGTGCGTGCGTGCGTGTGTGTCTTTGTGTCTGTAAAATCAAGGAAGGCCTCACTGAAAAGTCGATGTTTGAAAAACAACCTTGAGGAAAGAAATAAGGGAAGGAGCTATGCAGACATCTGGGGAAGAGCATTCCAGGTGGAGAGAACATCCAGTGCAAAGGTCCTGGGGTGGGAGCCTGCCTGGTGCATGCAAGGAACAGTAAGGAGGTAAGTGTGACTGAAGCAGAGCTGGCAGGAAGGAAGTCAGGTGAGCGCCCAGTCCGGCTGGTAGGTCCGGGCCTGGGCTCCCACTGCCACCTCCGCCTGGGCTAGAGTCGTCTGGCCTCCCCGCTCCTGGTTAGGGACCCTGAGGGGAAAGCCCCTTCTACCGGCTGGGGGCTGGGAGGGGAAGGTCCCCTCAATCCGGGCAGCTCCAGTCCCTCATCGCAGTTCACAGTTCACGAGGACCTCAGCTGACTTTGACGTTGCCTTCCCCTTTCCCAGGTGGGGACATGGCAGGGGAGGCACTCGGTTTCATGGAGCGGTATGAAAGAGAAGGCTTTTTGGCCAGGAGAAAGTGTTCCCTGTCTGGGAGCTATTAGAGCAGCTTGAACAGACTTTTCTAGGTTCAATCCCTCTTAGAGTGAACAATGGTGACCTCCCTGGTGGTGGGAGTGGGGGTGAACCATCTTTATGTAAACTTCTATGTGAAAGTGGTGGAAAGACCTGGGATCAGAAGCCCTTCTCATATGTTGTTGTTTCTGTGGAACTTAGGCTGGATATCTGACAGTCTTTTTACCTCTGGTCCCATTTGCTCTTAGGAAGCGAGTTAGGAAAAGGATGCTAGAATGAAATACTTTTTTTTGTCATACTCTCATCTTCCACCCGACCTTGCCATCGTGATGTACCAGAGCAGCCCTGCCCTTGGATGGATACTCTTAGGGTCATGATGTCAAGCATCAGAAGCCTTTCATAGGCTGTTTGGAACAGATAACTATCCCTTGAGTGTCATTTTCTCATCCTAAGGTAGCCCAGACATTTGAACATAATATGCAAAAGGGCCTGCATAGGTCAAGAGAAACATGCTAGTTGGAGGAAATCAACAAATCTCCTTTATACTTACTGATCATTATCAGGGGCAGGTGTTCTAGTTTGAAATGTCACCAACAATCTTTTTTAAATGTGAACTTTACTGTCTCATAAATTATGGTGGTGTCAACTTTTCACAGCATTATTGGGCAATTACTGGATGGGATGGGATCAGATCTGCTGTTACCTTTTGTGAGAAAAGAGAGAAGGAGCTGAGAAATACATCTGGGTTGGAAAGAAAATGGATCTGCTATGTCCCTTAAACAGGGGTTCCCCACCCCACCCCACCCACCTCACCCCATCCCCACCCTGTCATGGACCTGTTAGAAACTGGGCTGCACAGCAGGAGGTGAGTGGCGGGCGGGCAGGCAAGCTAGCAAGCCAGCAAGCAAAGCTTCATCTGTATTTGCAGCTGCTCCCTAGCACTAGCATCACCACCTCAGCTCCACCTCAGATCATCGGGCATTAGATTGTCATAGGAGCACCAGTCCCTGGTGCCAAAAAGGTTGGGGACCACTGCCTTAACATAATAGGTACATGCTCAAAAAAATGTTAAATGTTAAAAATGTGAGCTTTGTCTGAATTCAGGAAAACCCTTTATGTAATGGCAATTTGAAGGTAGGATGGTGAAAAATCTTAATTTTCTACTGGCATACATTTTGAGTTAGCAGACATCCTCCCAGCCCTTTCATTTTCAAAGGGGAAAAAAATCAAGTTCTTAACCAGTGTGTCTCCCATAGATTAAGAAAAAACAAAAAACATGCCTAGAACCAGAAAAACCTTTAGAAATTTTTAAAGACTGGCCTTTGGAAATGTTTTTTTCCTCCCAGCCTGGTAGATTCCTCTGAGGTGGTACATAAGTAGCTCAGGGCCCTGAGAGAGTGACAAACTTGTATCAGAAAACAGTTTTTAGGGCTAAGACGAGACCGTCTCCATAATTAAGAATAGTGACAGCTGAAGTTCCTTAAAAGGAACAGCAAAAACGTTCTCAAACTGTAAGAATCCCCAGAGGGTTTGTTTAAGCACAGATTGCAGGGCCTTATCTTCATTTCTGATTTTATAGGTCTGACATGAGGCCCAAGAATTTGCATTTCTCCCATATTCTCAGATGATGCTGAAGGTATTAGTCCTGGGATCATACTTTGAGAACCACTGGTGTAAAGTATATGAGATTCAATCTCAAATATTTCATAAAATGTGGACTTTCTGAGCTTTTAACCACAAATCACGAAGTGCCAGCAGCTTCTACGATCTCAAGAGATGTAGATTGTCTTTAGCAGTTATCAACATACCCTAGGTCCTAATGGTAAATGGGGATACTCCATTTAGGACAAATCCATTTCCTCATTGTTAAATAGGTTAAAACCTATGTTCAGAGGCTTGTGATGAGGGTTAATAAAGTTTTAGTACACATAGCACTTGCCATATTCAATATTTGTTACCATCCTCTATTGTTCTTTACTGCATTCTAGTGCTCTATAACATCTATTGGAAACTGTTCATGGGAGCTAGAGTAAGTTAAAGTCAATAATAAGACAAAGAGATGTGAATTTGAATGGTGATACCCTCACCAAAACCATGCTAAGGAAATTCCATGTTCTGATTCCACTCTTTTAGGACTGTCAATGGCAGGATACCAGCTCTGGTCACCATGGACCCCACTGGACGAGAGCTTCCAATGGCTACGGCACACAACACCTACACCTTCTTCCAAGCACCCCTTTAGGGCTTCCCCCTGCTTCCCACATACCCCTTCTGACCTTGAAGTGCAGCTGTGCTTTCAAGAGGTCACTCTAGTTCTAGACAGCCCATTCTTGGAAACTGGGATGAGTCCCAAGTTACCCTGCCACACATCAGAGCTCCGAACCATGAACAACAAGAAAGGACTGGTCAGGAAGCCCCAGCCTGTCCGCCTCAGTGGAGTGGATTCCGTCTTTGGCAGGGTCATCACAGCTCAGCCACCAAAGTGGACTGGGACCTTCAGAGTTTCAGACAAGTCAGCCTTTTGCAAAATCATCAGCCGGGAGCACCAGTGGCCCACTGGACTTAAGGAACCTCAGATTCAGATGACAGTGACCATGTGCAAGCAGATGCTGCGCTCTATCCTCTTGCTGTATGCAACATACAAAAAGTGTACCTTTGCCTTGCAACACTCCAAGTAAAGGGTCCCCGTCTGTTTCCTATTCCTCATACCATGCCCTTTGCTATGTGCCTGAAGCTTACAGAAAACTGTTGTAAAGGAAATTTGCTTTTCTGTCAAGCAGTGACAATTCAGGAGCCCCTTTCCTTCCTTCCCTTCCAAAAAGGGGCCAGTGATAGAGCAAGGGAGAACATTTCCATTGTACAATTGGACAACCACTTAAGAGAGTCAAACTAGCACTGACATGTACATGTGACAAAGAACCATTAAACAACCCATATAAACCAATGGGCCTAGTGTGAACTCAAACATCTAAGATCACAATGAATTGGGGAAACAAAGGCATGTCAAAGGAGATATGGATTTCTATATACAAGAGGTTGAAGGGATCTAACATGTATGTGTGGGTCAAGGATTAATTTTAAAAACAAAAAACAACCTCCCCCACCAAAAAAAAAAAAAGACAAGAACCTAACCAGCCACACCCTAATATTTACACTAGAGAATACAAAAGTGGCAGAAATATTAACAACTATTAAACAATATATATAACTTGGCAAGAAAGAACTTGGTAGTAGCACTGAAACTGGGCTTTCTGGCAGATGTGAGAGCTCCACATTTAGCTGAAGTGTACTAATGTTCTATTTCTAATAAATTATAAGTAATTTTGTAGCATTGTTGTAATTAGGTTACAGGTATAACTCAGAAAAAGTGGAAATAAAATATATATACAAAGTCAATATGATTTTGATGGTGCCTCTTCCCACTTTGTCTTATGTCTACATGATGACCAAAAAAATTTTAAAAGCAGCCAAAATGTTCCTCTTGACTTTCTTTGGGCATTGAAAAGAAATTTCATCACTACAAAAAGATCACAAAGATCTTCTCATCCCAAAGAAAGATGGTCCTTAGAACGGGAAACATGATTTTTTGTTGGTAGAACTGATTTTTGGCACTAGTCTTCATTATTTCTCTGCTGAAAATCCAATTCAATTCCATCTAATCCTTGACAAATGAAGGAAATCCAGAAAAGAAAGAAGCTGAGGCAGAACTTAAAACAGAGTTTATTTGTAAACTGGTACAAACCTAAATTCTAAAATAAAAACTAGCATCTAAAGTCCTGAATCATGACTACTCTGCAGCACAGCACTGCCACGTTTGCCCAAACGGATAAGTAATGCTACATGGAATCCTAAGCCAGGGTCCTTCATGATGTTAGATAATCTATAAAATTCACAATTAAGCTGATTCAATAAAGCCTCCACTTTGAGGACAAAATAGGATGCTTCCAGTGAGAAAGGCAGACAGCAGATTTCAAACCCTGAACACAAAATGGTTAGGCTGGCAGAGATGGGGAGGCAGCATCAGTCTTTCTGTGGTCTAATCAGAGTCATCATCGCTCTCATCACTATCTTTTTCTCCATCACTTGCTTCATCATCTTCACCATTCTACAGGGCAAATGATAATTAAATACTTTAGGTCACCTGGATGATCCCATGAATTACAAATCTACTCCCACAGGATTTAAAACTGTACTGTACCGTTAAAACAAATGATAGGTTTTAAACCACTTTGAAAAATGAGTCAGAAGGTCATTCTTGCATCATGACCTCTAAGTCAAGACCATGGTCGAGCCATGGCCCTCCTGCTCTACTGCATGTATGTGACATAGGAACAAAGTGGACATTTACTATAGAATAAAATGTTTGTTAAATTAAAAATTCTGCTGTATCTCAGCAGAAATCCAGTGTAACATTCACTCTGGCTACAACTCTAATCTTGGAGGTCTGCTTAGGAGAAGGTACCAAACTAATAGCATTTGTCTGGCTCAAATTTTTACGAGAACATGGTATAGGTATACTATACAAATAAAATGGAAGACCATGTAGTAAAATAATTTTCATACTAGGTGATCTTTCTGCATTAGCCTCATATTACATTATAGAGAGGCTCCATAGGAGGGGTTCTTAAATCTGAGCTTTTTGGTGTCTATAACCCACCTGAATTGCAATAAAATTTTACAAACATGTACATTTTTCTTTAACTTGCTTTAAAGTTTCAAAAGTATCTGTAGTAGCCTAGAAAAGAATAAGAATCCCTACTCTGATTTTAGTCCTCGGTGGTGGCAGCTTTTGCTTCTGTGCTTTGGTTTTAACCAAATGTGTTCACATTTCTATTTTATATAGTCAAACCATCATGTTTAAATGGTTTAACTCATTCTTCTCAACACTCTGAGAACATTCTGACCTCTTTTCTCCCCTCTAATATGATTTTAAATATGAATTCAGGGAAAATCAGAGGCTATAATTGAAGTTTTCAACTCTATAATGTATGCCACAACTTGAGATAGCTGACCAATTATAAGACTGTGGGTTTTTTTCCTGGCCCCCCAGAGAATTCATATAAGCAAAGAAGCTTTTTTGGAAGGACTGGAGATGGGCATAGAAGTCTTTTTCTATAAACATAAACAGGGAAAATTCTGCAATTTTTCTACCAACTCAGAATAATTAAGAGAATGCAACATCAATGCTACACTCTGGTGCCTTATGCAGAGATACCTCCACTGCTTTGCTCTTGGAGACCTGGGATGATGTGTCATCCTCACTCTCATTTGCTGTGCTTTCCTGGGAATTCTGGGATATAATCTCTTCACCCTAGATGTGGATGGGCCAAGACAAATGGTGGGTTATAATAATCACATTTGGAGTCTAAAGGAGAGAAAGGCTTAGTTTACAGGCAATACAAAGGAAGATATTTTAGCCATTTGAACATGGTCAAACATGGGCACCAAAATGTTATCCACCATCCAGAGAAGTGATAATCAACCCAAGGTTTCTGAGATACATGTCGCTCTGGTATAATATGTAGTTGTTTTTTTTTTAAGAAGTCCATCTTTGTATTCTAATATACTAGATTTTACAAGGCCAGACTGTACTGGTGACTCAGTTATTGTCGAATTCAGTTTTAAAATTTTCCAAATATCTTAAGATATACGACCATCAACACACAAAACATGAATGGCCATGTAGAAGCTGAAATGAATTAAGAACATTAGCTTTGGAGCAGGACTGAACTCATACCTTGTGGCTCCACTCATTGATGAACTTCAATTTTCTCACAGAAGCAACAGTGTCTACCTTATAAGGTTGATGTCACAAAAGGGAGCTAATTTTCTGGGGTACTATTTTTTTCATATATCAGATTATAAAACTCAGGTATTATAAGTATGTATAAGAAGGGCTTGGATCCTAGTTGAAAAATGCTATAACTCTAAAGCAGTACTATAAGCAACATGAAATTTTTTAGCCAATTAGTCAGACAACTGAACAACCTTTGAAATGCTCACTTGTTAAAATTAGCCAGAGAATAATTTCAGGAATCAGACAGACTGGTTTAGGAAAAAACCCAAAACAATTAAAATAAAGTTTGTCCATATACCAAAATGTTATGAGTCTACCCTCACTAGGACAGGACTTAAAGGCATCCCTCTGGCTGAGGAGAGAGGTTTTATTGATCTGGCTCCCCTATTTCCTTGTTTGTATCAGTGGCACATTTTGGAAACTTTGCTGGCTGGGATGAGGGGTACAGCCCATGACCAGGCCCCATAGGCATGACCAGGCCTCAAAGGCAATGTACCCTAATTTTAAGAGGTGAATGGCCCAAACTTGAGAGAAAAGCAGCCTTACTGAGAGGGCAGGGCTCAGGTGACCTCCCTTACATACCTAACAATGCTCTCAAAAAAAAAAAAAAAATAGAAGTAAGAGATTATCACTGGCAGGGCCCCAGGCTTACCTGTAAGTCCCGGTTTTTGAGATTTCCCAGCCAGAAAGCCTCCCTGCAATTGTTAAGGATGAGCATCGCTTTCACTCTGCAAACTAACAGCTCCAGGATCTTTTTGAGCAAAGGCACATGTTTGGTGAGCTTTGTATCCTGGTGAATCTGAATGGAAACAAATGCACCTAACTGAGTTTACCATCATGCTTCCATATTTCCTATACAGAAACTTTTGCATTCCTGACATCTTGAACACTGTATTAAAAAAAGCATAAGCCCTGCTAGAATAGGCCAGAGACACATTCCATCAAAGAGCAGTAGTTTGGCAGAGAACTTGGAAGAGAATGGCAGCTGTCCTTCAAGCTGAGATTGCCTAGAAAACATACCACCAACACTTCTTTATAACCTTTTATTGACCAATTATCAATGCATTTACTTAAAATACTCTTGAACATATATTACACTGATATTAAACAACGAAGAGTAGCCCTGTTTAGCTGAGAGTTCTTAAATTTTCACTGTTCAGCACATTCTAAATTTAGAACCAGGGGAGAAAGTGAGTAATAGGAACTGGATCTAAGAATCATTTGGTTTGCCAGTGACTGCAGAACTCTATGGTTCTGTGCTTTTTCACACAAAAAGCTAAAATGGTTCAACTGTAGGCTTCAAGTGGAAAAGTCCTTTAATGCTAAAATGTTCTCACAAGAGACAGATGTGTTCCTTGACACGTAAGTAGTACAGCTAAAAAGTTAAAGCTACTTTTAGAACCACCTCTTGTCTCCAGCAGAGAGTCATTACTTACATAATATTCCACCTCCCCAGTGTACTTTGTAGCAGTAACACATGCACCAACATTCCATATCTCTCACTAAAGAAGGAAATGGGGCTATGGAGTCTGAGCCCAATTTCAGGTGCAGAAACTTCCCTCTAGATGACTGCCTGATTTTAACCAGAACCTAAGGATCTGACCACTTTGAATAAACTGCCTTTGGACTGAACAGTCCCAAAAATAAAGGCTCAAGAAGGATAAAAAAGAGAAAAAGAACTGAGGCCTGTGTATCTCCTAATCTCGACTGTTGATTAAGCCAAAAGGCAGGCTGGTGATATGCTGACCTCCTTTCCCTCTTACCTTGGAATGCCCACACAGGTGATGAAGCAGCCTCGTGTCCAACTGGAAAGTTTCCAGTAAGCTCAGAACATCTTCCTATAACAAACAAAATTCATAATTGCCATACAAATTACTCTCATTTCATTTTACATGCAAGATATCCTTGCAACCAAGGGCTCCAAAGAGGATAAAACCTGCAGATTCTGGCTGTCTATCAATAATCATCTTAATTTGGCCCTCAAATAGCAGAAGTGATGGCTAGCTGTCCTCCCCTTTCTTTTTATGGGTTATGAGGGACCAACCAAATATTGTGAGAATTTTGTGCAATGCTCAACTTGCTAAATATGTGTGAGGAATCATCTGTTTCTATCCTTATTTAACTACTTTAGCCCTGGATCCCAGCTGGCCAAAAAAAAACAAAAAACAAAACAAAAAACCTCTCAAGACAGTCCATTATAACAACAAAGAGTTTAAGACAAAAATCAGATCTTATTTTTTAATTATTCCTGAGTGGACCTGGAGAAGCACAAAAGAATAAGCAAACAACACATTAACATATGAGGTCCTGGGAGTTTAGCAACACAATAAAATCAAACTAAAAGGAAAAACCACACCCCAGATCTGAAGTAGAAGTAGGAAGGTGAGTTTCATTCAGAGTGGGTCTGAGTTCAGCTTACTTTGGAATATTCAGTCCTAAATGGGCATCTCTAGCGATAGCTGAAGTGGATGAAAAATGCCCAAGTAGAACTGTGGCCCAGACTAGGCAAGAGGACTTGCCCCCAAGCCTAGCCTAGGAGTCACCATAAACATATCTTCTGAATAACTATACAGAGCATGTCTTTGCTTTCTGTTCTCGGTTCTTACCCGGTGTTTTCTAAAACTGAAGTCTAGGAGCGGCATACACTGCTTCAGAAATGCTTCCACAAAGAGACGCCCATACTGAAGAAGAGAAGAGATATACTGGTGATGACCTCTGGCTGAGGTCTTTCACCTGAAAGGCCACTGCCTAAGGCAGCATAGCATCCCCCAGC